CCTAGCCCTAACCCTAACCGCCCTAACCGTTAGCCGTTAGCCCTTATAATTAATTTATCGAAACAAGGTGACTGCTTGGCTAAACCTGAGAACCAAATCTCTTCCGATTTCGCTTCTTAATCCCCAAACCCTAAACCCTAAACCTTTAACTTCCTGAAGCCTGGGTTTGCTCCGGTGGACATAAGACATAGGACCTAGGACCTAGGACACAGGACCACTTGCCAAGGCCACACAGTCGGTTTGGATGGCACACGTTTGACGTGTGATCCATGATATGAACGGACAAACATCTACTCTGGAAATATTAACTCGCGTAGGCTTAGGTAAGACGTGAGTAGCAGTTATGTAAACTAATGTTATAACATACCTGTACATGTTTAGGTAGCATGATCGACTAGACAAGCGCACCCACACATCACAAGTCTGCGTACGGCAGACGACAGAAGGGTAACTAAAAGTGGTGTGGCATTGGCATCACACGGCACCATGACCCAGTAGGCCGTTGCGTGCAAACAGCAAACAGTGTGAAGGACAACACCAAGATCTTGGAGACAGGCATGGCGTGGGCAACAACAACTTTCAACAAGATGGAGTCTTCAGTGACGGAGCTGTACAAGAAGGTCCAAGTACTCCTCACTCAGTATCTGGCTCTCTTGGAGCGCTACGGCAAAGACCACAAGGCCGACGAGCTTCACGAGAGTGCGAATGGTGCGATGCAGCAGTGCATGGGCATGATTTGTGAGGCTTTGTTGCTACGGGCCATGGCTGTTCCAGATGAAGGTGAGAAGCGCCAGCAGGTCCAGGCTCAGTTAAAGCGAATGGCAAAGAAGGTGGGCGGATCGGCGATGAGCCAGCAGATCTTGGCAGAGGCTACGAAGATTGCGCGAGGTTGATTGGATTTAGGAGTTTTCGAGCAGCACTTTCTGCGCACAGCAGTTCAGCTGACTCCCGTCTTGCACCAGTGAAGTCATGGGCTTCCTGAGAAACAGTCTTCTGCTTGCAAACGGCCGAAGCAGGCGATCTGCTTCCATGTGCGAGTGCGAGCTCCTTCGACTTTTTATTCTATACTCTACTCTGCTCTAGTCACTACTCTACATACTCTATTCAACTCTACTCGAGAAATCCGCCAATACATTACACGTCAAAGAGCTTGCAGCTTGCGCGGCTGCGATCAGTCAAGCACGCATCCAGAAGAGGGTGCTCGGAGGCGAGGCGTGGATCGCTCCATGTGAGAAATGTTGAAACTTGCTGCAGTGATCCAACCGTAACCAGCCGAAGTTTTGTTGCAAGTTGAGCAGCCAGATCTTCGCCCAGTGATACTGCATTTGGCTCACAATGCACATGCAGACACACGCTCCTACTAAGTAGATAACACTTGGCATTCGTCCACCGTTATGCTGATGTCAAACTTTGCGGTGATTTCGTGCTGGTGCTGCGTACTGATACTTCGATCCGGGATGGATTTATGGTCTATGGCCATCAATGTACAGGTACAGGTACAGGGTGTCAAAGACTCTTGCCGACTCTTGCCAAAGAACTCCACATCGCCCACGCGCAGTTTGCTTAGTCTGACTTCGCTAATCGCGACTGTGTAGTCAGTGCAGTGTGCAGCCGAGTTTGAACACACTCCTTCTGCACATGGTTGTGTCAGCCGCCGCATCAGTACATCGCGAAGGCTCGGGGCGCATGGGTTGGGTTGGTCAGGTATCTGCATGTCTTGTGAGTCTTGTAGCCGGGTAGCCGGGTAGCCATCCTGAGCGTGATCACTGTAATCGATCTCACTGCCTGGCCCTGGAAATTGGATTTCGAATTCAATTTCCGTCGTCTGTGAGGCCACGAAGTAGTAAATGAGTTAAGGACTTAGAGGCCCAGAGACCTGGAGACAGCGAGGAAGTCGTGGTAGCACACGCAACTTCAGTTCTATTTGGGCCGAAATTCAACCTTAGATCACAACTTGTGAGTTCCAGTAAGATTCGATGAACCCGAATGGAGAAAGCATTGGAAATTAATTTGGAGGCAAAGCAGATCCTTTTCATGTGGTTCATGTTATCAGGACTTTCGAGTTCGAGGCCATCATTCGCAAACAGGCCGGCTCCAGCGGACTCCGGCGTTTGGGTCTCGCGGGAGTTTTGCCTTATTGCTAGTTGCAGGCAGATCGGATCTGATCAATGAGGGTGGTTTAGCTCCAGTTTAGATTCACATAGTCGGATCGCGCCGAGGACCTTAGGAGCAAGATTGAGTAAAGATCGAGTTTCAGGATTTGGGGTAGTGACTCCTGCTGATCTGCTGTTAGTGCCGGAGTTCCTGAGCAGTTGGCAATGCGGCATACGGGGATCCAGGGACCGGGTCTGTAAAACCCGGAACACACAACTTTTAGCCGTTCGCCTGTATCCTCAATCCTAAACCCAAAACTTGATTCGCACTAGGCGTCAAACCCTAAAGCCCCAAACCGTCAAGCCCCACACCTTAAATTCCTGTACAGGTCCTGCACTCTATACCCCCAAGCCCCAAGCAAGGTGTGTAGCACGCTGTATTTAGATAACAGCACCATGTGTCAGGAGTCAAGAGATTCGACACCAAACCGGAATGCAAATTTTGACTCCATTAACTCTATTCAACTCTATTACTGTCAATTGTCTATAGAAGTCGCAACTTCAAAATGCGAATCCCAGAGTCCCAGGTCCCAAATGCGGTTCCCAGAACCCAAGCGAGCCCGTGGCCGGATGCCCAAAACCCAAGCCTGTCTCCCCTTGCTGCATGCTGTCGGAAGGCCGCTTCAGTTGCTGTGGCCGCTGCGTGAGGGCGGCACGGAAACAAAGTGCGTTTTTTGGCTAGCGAGAGGCGGTAGGTAGTAAGTAAGGCATCTCATTATGTCGGCTATGATACCAATGTCCAATGTCAGCTACGTTAGCCGTTAGTAGCCCACTTGCGGTTTCTGGTTTATCAGGCGCTCTGTCGTTCTCATATAGGAGTTTCCGAAAATAGGGGACCCTGCTATAGTACTCTAAATAGTAGGATCCTTAATACAAGGACACTTGAATAAGGTACCCCTAATTTTCGGAAACCCCCATATTGGTACGTCATGTATGTGCCGTGTACAAGCAGTTTCAAGCATTTGATTCTGAGCGATGGGCAATGTATAGATAGTGACAGTGTAAGCCTGCCAGCCAAGTCATTTAACGACTTTGGACACGTCGACATCAGCTCCGTAAACTTGTCCCTGTCATTGCGTCGCTGTCATTGTCAAGACCTTGCCGCACCACTGCGTTCACGACACAGCTGTTTTCAAACCCGCCCTGAATCCCTGAACAGTCAACCTCAACGCTACCTGGCTGCCTGTCAATGCTACCTGGCCCTACCAAAGGCTACTAAGCTACTATAGCTTGGACCCCAGGGCTGATTGCCCAGACTTGAACCTAGACCTACACTGCACCTTCGGGTAAAACCCATCAAAGCTTGTGTCACTGCAGTGGTGTGGTGAAGACAGTGGCATGGCGGCAGTACATCATGACTGTAACTGTAAGGCTAGGCTCGGGCGCGGCTTGGGCAGCTTTGGCAGTCCTAACTTGTAACTTGTTGAAGCCCGGCAGCCACCAAAGGTGAGCTGCACCGCGGGATCGACCGATCAACCCTGGACTTTAGACGCTCCTTCTTGCGCTGGTCCGCTGGTCATTGCTAGACACCGAACCGCCGGTCCCCAACTAGGTAACTAGGTCCAGACTTCAGAATGCGTTGGTCGTTGGATACGGATATGGTAGCCGCTGTAGCCGACATAGTGACGTAGAAGGTAGCAACAGCTTCAATAGAGTCAATAGAGGTAGCAATCGTTGTCGCACCATGCTTGCTGGTAGTGGCACTGGCAGCACTTGCAGTCGTAATGACTGGTAGCGCTGGCTGTGGTCCTGCTAGCGACTTGGTAGTCTCAGTTTAAAAAGGTGGTGGTGGTGGTGGTGGTGGTTGTAGCCGAGACATTGTGGTAAGTACCCGAGCAGCAATTAGCGGTAAGGTAAGTAAGTAGTGGAATACTTACATTGTCGTCGTCGTGCTGAGCTCGTCGTCGTCGTCGTCCGTCTTCCTCGCGGAATTACTAGTTACCAGGGAGCATCGCGCCTGCAAAATCTGTTTCAACGCTTTTGGCTGCTTCTGTCAGATCGAATCCTGGTCATTGAAAAGCCTGCTCTGCTTTGCTTGCTGGAGCCCAGTGGAGAGAACAGAGAGACAAAGGAGATCAGAGCAAAGATTTACATGCTTCGCATTTGGTTGCCTGATCTCTCTGCCACTGAAGCCGCACACACCCTGCGGCATAGCGGGGTGGTGGCGTGTTTTTCGAAGAGCTGGATCTGTCCCCATATATATATATATATATATATATATATATTATTACTATTATGATTATTCATTATTCCTATTATTCGTATTATTAGTATTATTAGTATTATTATTATAATTATTAGTATTATTAGTATTATTAGTAATATTAGTACTATTGGTACTATTAGTATTATTAGTATTATTAGTATTATTAGTATTATTAGTATTATTAGTATTATTAGTATTACTATAATTATATATATATATATATATAGTAATATTAGTACTATTGGTACTATTAGTATTATTAGTATTATTAGTATTATTAGTATTATTATTATTATTAGTATTATTAGTATTATTAGTATTATTAGTATTATTAGTATTATTAGTATTATTAGTATTATTAGTATTATTAGTATTATTAGTATTATTAGTATTATTAGTATTACTATAATTATATACACAGCAGAATCACAGCAGAATCAGGCGATTTTTTTTTGAATTATTTTTGATTTTTTTCGATTTTTTTTCGATTTTCATTCGATTTATATATTGCCTTTTGATTTCCTGTGTTATTAGGCAATCGAGGATCATAATTATAGAACCCCTATAGATCCCTTTAAGGAGCCCATTAAGGAACCCTTATTCCTTAATTAAGGGGATTAGGGGCTCTCTGGGCAGCCCAGGTCTTCAGAAGCTACAGAAGCTACGTCGTCTCAGCCTCGTCGGGAACAGGCGGTTTTAAACCCTGAGCCCTCGACCTTTGTCAGAGTTGGGTAACTTTGTTTGATCTTTATGGGTTCTTAAACCCAATAGGGAATAAAAGTGTACATTTTCATCCTATCCCAACCATGAACTAGATACCCTAAACCCAGAGCGTTCTGCGTTCAAGGTTGATCTAGTTAATCTTGGGTTTTTTCCAATCCCCGTTAAGGGCAGGTTTTGATGGCCCCTTTTTGAAGGGCTCTGAAAGGATGTCCTCAAGGGGGGGGGTCTAGAGTTTAGGGCTTGTAGAGACTTCTTTGGATGTCAACATAGTTTAGAGTTCGCTATCCGCTCAGTACACCTGAACCTACCCTATCACGCCTTTTGGAGTGCCCCGACAAAGACGAAACTAGGGTATTCAAACAATATTCTACAAAAGTTTCTAGGTTCTAGGAATTTTAGTAGGTTGGGGTAGTCAAGGCTCCATAGGCTTTATGAGGCACAAAGTCGAAACCCTACTCTTGAGAGGCATTGTCCTACTGCAAAGTTCTATGACACATATTGAACTCAACCAAAAACCGATAAGCAAACACGGTAGTCTCGCAACCCTAAACCCAATAAGCTTAAACCCTATAAACCCTGAACCCTTAGCCCCTTGTAGAAGCCCTTCTAGAAACCCTTACAGGAACCTTGAAAGCAATCCCCTGAACCCTAAACCCTTAAATCCTAAACTCTCAACCCTGAACCTTCAACCCTCTGACCCTAAACCCTAGACCCCTAAACCCCTAAACTACTCTGTCAACGTTGGGTAACAGTTTACATTTTAATGGGTGCTTCGACACAACAAGGAACAAGAATGTACAGTATTAATCCTATCCCGGCCATGAACTAGAAACCTTCAACTTTAAACCCCTACACCCTAAACCCTAAAACCCTAAACCCCTGAACCCCTAAACCCCTCAACCCCTTAACCCCTAAACCTTCAACCCTAAACATCCCAATGCTTGATGCAGGCTTACCGCATTGCCCGAGGAGTTAGGCCGCATCCCTTCCCTCAAGGCCATGGGCCTCCGTGCAGGGGCAGGGCTCTGGTCTTAGTAACTAGGATTATATTGGGGTTTAGGGATTCAGGGTTTAGGGGTTTAGGGTTTAGGGTTTGTTTAGGGTTTAGGGGTATGAACGGGCTACATAACTGCAACTATGACCTTACTTACTAAAGTCCCAAGATCCTGCAGGTAGAGTTGTTATGAAAGTTGTTTGGTGTTATCCCAGTAGTACCGGTTCCCTTGTTGACGCCAAATAGTGGGGCTACTGGCGGGGAACCTAAAGAACTTTGAGATAGGGGACAACAGATATCAATAGTATACCAGTATCGGACCCGCGTAGTGCCTATGTAGTCAGCTTTAATTCAGAGGAAGGTGGAAGCCGGCATAAGCACCACTAGTATTCCTTAGGATGCCGCATACCTTCTCATAACGGTATATAGCCCCAACACTACTCCTTAAGGAGCATCGTCACGCGTCTTCCGGGGGCGGCTCAACAGATGATGAATTTTTCCGCATAGGCCGATATCCTGGCCCAGACCAAGTTCGGACCTGTGTTAGGTCGCGCCACCGAGAGCTGGCGACTCCGATCGGTTCTCCTCGTGTCCCTTCGACTGTCGGTTCTTCACCAGCGACGCCCGCCGCGAGGGTTGACGTGGAGCCCGATGATAGTGCTCGTGCAGCCCGCCGCGCCGGGGCTGCCTTGCCTGCCTGCCACGCCGCTGCGGACGCATGCTTCAAGACCAGACCCCAAAATCCGAAGCCGTGTGGAGGTCCAGGCACAGAAGCAGTTGACCAGCGACGTTGAAAACCTCGCCTGCCGAGGTCGATCAGAGTGCCGGTATGTGCCGCTTTTGCCATGCGCGCACGCCTCAATGCCTGGCCCGATGCAATTTAAGCCAGCAGCATAGAGTGGTGCCAACTGACGTAACATGTTGTGACCCAACTCCTTGCCCAACTGAAGCGGTAGCATGGTACAAGACAAACCACTGTAAAGACTGCACTATGCAGCTTCCCCTTGTAGTCACTATATATTCCGGGAAACCTATTCTGACCACTAAGGTGTTGCATTAGGCTTTATGATAGAGTGCGAACCAGTTTGGGTTGTTATGGTTCTTATGAGTTCCCCGCCAAAGCCTATGAAATTTATAAACTTGCACACCCTAAACTCTACACGGAGGCGCTGATGCTGGATGGCAACCGCTTGGATGATATCCCGAGCAGCCTCAAACCTCTCTGGCTCGCAGGACACGTATGAATTTTGGGTTACCTCTAAGGGTGTCTATAATTAAGGGTTTCTACAAAGGTTCAGGAGTTTACGGTGTTTGGGTTTAGCGTCTTAGGGTTTTACGGTTGTTTACGGGGTGTAGGGTCTGCTGCTATCATGTTGTGGAGCTTCTGGGATTAAGGATGCATCCCTGCAGTCATAGCAAGAGGCACTCTGTAATTTGAGGTGATATCTTGCCGACTGAGGGCGTAATCTTGAGGTCTAGTGATATTATTGGCCACGTATCAGTTTGGGAAAAGTCTTTAGGCGCTGAGTTAACCCTGTGCCCTGTGCATTATGACACCTTTTAACCCTAACACCAAGCCCCGCAGCTTAAGCCTTAAACCGCAAGCCTTGTGTTTATGCAGGGTTGAAGGGCGTCCAAAGCTGCCTGCTTGTTTACTTCCAGAGTTTCCTGAGCCAAAAGATACTCCCAAATGAGAGCTTAGTAGCTGAGTAGGGCCTAATTTGCGGGACATGGAGCTCTCTGATTATAAGTCATAGAGGGGGAATAATTAGTAATATGGTTTGGGGCTGAGGGTTTATGGTAAAATGGCTTTAGGATGCGCAAACAAGAATGCTAGAATATCACCGCCAGACCTGTTCGAATTAGAAAGGCCCCCATATTAGTAAAAATAGTTTCTCTGCCGATCCAAAATAAAAGCATGAATAGTTGCAACACTATTCCGCAGGGTTCCTCATTATGAATACACTATAGTCTACACCAAAACACGATTTTCGCTATTGCGCCCGTATATTGCACCCTTGTAGTAGTCCTTGTAGACACCCTTTTCAAAGCCACCCCTAAAGAAACCTTGTTCTGATTATCAAGGCCCCTACAGTATCTCCCCGATCGAGGAGGGCTGCATGCGGACGGAAATCCGATGGATCAAAGACGACCGCGGCCGGATGGCGAGCTGTAATTTAGGGGTCAGCCGCCCCCCCCCCCCCCTGTGGAACAACCCGCATCAAGCTACCCTATGATTCCTCATCCTGCTTACCCTAGGTTGTTTGTTAAAACCGAAAATTTATGTCGTTGTACGTTAAACCCTAAATCCCTATAAAACCCGTAGAATCCCATTTATGATTATCACGGTGCCCGTGTAAGATGCTGCATGGAACAGTTTGCTGCCTGTCGAGACCTGTGGCGCTGTGAGCGCTCACTGCGGTCGACAGAAAAAAGTCCGTGCTTGCCCCTTCCCATGTTCGGGGTTTTACTGGCTGTGACTGTTCAGAGCTTTAAGGGCTTTAAGAGACTGAAGAGCTTCAATTAAAGGTGTGAAGGTCTAAGGTTTAGTGTGGTGGATCCAGCAACACACTGTTCCTGCAGGCAACAAGTAGTTGTTGTTGCGGAACTATTATCCGTATCGAATCTGAGAGGCTAGCCCTCAGTTCCGTATGACACTGGACAAGCAAGTAGGGCAATTCCCTATATTGATGCGATCCAGCGGTTGATTTCAAACGAAAGCCCAGCATTTCCAAAGCCACTTAAGTAGTCAAGCTACCGACCGTAAATCATGTCTTAAGTATTCCCCTGTAGTTTGGAGTTCAGGTTGGAGGGTTTCGGTAAGGGGATTGTGTATTTCTGAATGGCTTCTCCGTGCAGATTTGGGGTTTAGGAATGCGGGGTCGGGGCCCAGAGGGCAAGGCTCAGGATTTTTCATTGGTATGCGCTGTCGTTTGTTTGAAGAATTTGGCCTGGGCGCGTGTTCTTGTAGGGACACTTAGCTTACGCGCTTGTCTATAGGGCTTCTACGGGGTTCCTGGTCGAGTTTCGTAGGGCTTTTCAGCCCTAAGCCCTATGCAGCCATAACCTTACAAGTCCTGAACCCTGACCCCATTACCCTGAAGTTTACGGGCTATATCATATGTAGCTATTTAGGGTTCGTGTACTATGCTCCCATACCTGCAGCTGGAGCACTCAACCTTCGGCTCACGTATACGGAAACGGAATTCGGAATCATGAATGATATCATTCTAAAGGGCCCCCCAACCCTACACCCTTAAACCCTAAACCCGAAACCCCTAAACCCCCCTATACCCCTAAACCCGCCTAAGCCCTAAAATTCGAAAGCCCGAGGTCTGAAATCTACACGGCTTTGCCAAAGACCCGCTACGGCATGACAGCATCTCCCCCAGCTGGTTCTAGGATTGCCCTAGGGTTTATATATATATATATATATAGGGTTTTGGGTTGAGGGCTTCCGGGGCTTATGCTTTGGCGTTACTTGGGGTTTTGGGTTTACGGGGTTTTGGGTTTGGGTGTACAGGGTTTAGGGGTGCCCCTAAGAGTAGGTTATGACCCCTTTAGGGTATCACGCTTTGTACAAGAGGGTTTTTGGTTGTCCAGTTCAACCATCAACTTCCCGCAACCCTGAAGGCTGCAGATGTATGAACTTCAGTTTAAGGCTGAGAGGACTGAGTGAGCAGGGATGGATATGAATACATATATATATATACATATATACAAACATACACACACACATACATACATTCTCAGATCTATACATATATATATATATGTATGTATATACACAAATACAGATGCATGTGTATATGTATACAGATAGACAGATCGATAGGTAGAAGTACGTTCTATTAACTTCAGTGGAATCTTTCACATCTTACTTACTCGGTCCCCTGATCCTCGAAGTCTCCCTGATGCTAATAACTTAGATCCCCAATACCTAACCTTTTAACTTTTTGGGATCTTATAGTCTAGTAGGAATCGGAAAGTTTAACCCTTTATTTCTGTGGAATCTGCCAGCTTTGAAGGAGTTGGGTGGTACGGTTGCTGATATAAATCCTGCATTCCTCATAATAAGGAATATACCAGAATTCCCATAGTCTAGGGTCCTTAAGGTCATACTGGATTTTTATAATCAACCGTAGTTGAGGTTTCAACTTGAAGTTTAGGATTTCTTGTGCGGGGTTGCTTGTGTCGGATGATGAAGTTTTACCGAAAGTATGGACTTATGTCGTTTGGGTGTTGGATGATGGAATATTACCGAGAATATGGACCGGTAACGCTTGGGTATTGGATGATGCAGTTCCACTGGAAATATGCACTTCTAAAGACGTAACCTATATGGACACATCGTGATGTAAGGTATATTTCTTCGGGTTCTCTGCCTCTGCTGAGATCTACCCCGACACGCGCCACGTTGCAGAGCCAAGCGTCCCGCCCCCGGCGGTTCTTCAAGCTCTCATAGCGTAAGCAAAGCATTGAACACGTAGGCTTGGGAAGCTACGGTTGATGATATATATCCTGCATGGCACATAATAAGGAGTTTACCATAATTCCCATAGTTTAGGGTCCGTAAGGTAATGCGGGTTTTATATCATCGACCGTATGTTGGGAGTTATTTGAAGAATCCTTATAACAAGGTTTCTGATGTTTGAGGTCTATCCCTAAGAGCTCCTCCTGAGCCAAGAGAAGCCCAAAAGCTCTTTTTGAAGATTCTCTGAGGCTTTAGGGGTTTAGGGCTTTAGGGTTTAGGGTTTAGAGGTTAGGGGTTAGGGGTTAGGGTTTAGGGTGTAGAGTTATACCTTGGGTACTGCCCCCATTCAGTAACCGAATTATACCTGCGAGATGCCCAGGACCCTACGACCTATAGGAGCCCTTTATGTACACTTGGGGGTTCATTGGTAGTTTGAAGTAGGGGTTTAGGAGTCCCCGACCTAAGCACCATTTATGTATAGGCTAGGACCCAGAGGAGGCCCTTATTCCCTTCTTTTTGGGGTTCAGGTTCTCCCAAAAAGGGCACCCTTTTTAGTCCTAGGTTACTCTTGGGTTTACTATAGGAATCTGGAGGAGAGTTTTACGGATTCGTGACGAAGAGCTGGAAGTATAGTGGATTCCATTCAAGTTTGTGACGGTGTCGGACATTTTATCAACAGCAGGCGTCACTTCTTGGCCTACGAGTCTCACTCGTGGATGCATGCGGATAATCTTCACACTTTTGTTCAAGGCCTATTGGAGTCCCTATAGTCTCATGCTTGTTCAGGGATGGGGGGAGGCTGGTTGTTAGTCATGGGTGTTCAGACCCTGCTGATGGACACCATCCTGCAACATCCCCAACATAAACTTATAGCCTAAGTTTTTACAGTTTAGAGTACCTGGGGTATTGAAGGATCTTGTCCGTACGGGGCAAAGCGATCAGCGCAAGGTCTATGACTATAACATACTGTAACATCCGTACAGATTGTAGAGGTTTACAGTGCATGGGGCACGCTTTCATGTGATGGCCAAGACAGAGACCAAGAGTGATCTCAGGATTAAGAATCATTGTGGTACTTGTGCTGCTTAAGTTTGCGTGCGCCGATCGAATCACAGAAAGTGAGGTGTGGCAGCCCTAAACCCTAACACCGCAAACCGCCCAACCACTAAACTTTAGCGGCATTTCAGGGCTGCTGTGTTTAGGGTTTTCGAGGCGGTCAGTTTTGAACTTACCATAAAGTCCAGAATTGTGGGGTTTAGGCCTCTTTACGACACGGGCGTTGTAGTTTTATGCCCCTATGAGTTTTTTTCGGGCTTCGCATGTAAGGATTAATGGTTGAGACGGGTGTAGATCATGCTTCGGAAAAAACTATGTGGCTTCTGTGGGCTGACAGCCCGCTTTGTCTTCGAGTCGCAGATTACAGGTTAGGAAGCCCGCAAGGTGCATGCTGGTTTCCCGTTTCTGCACTAATAGAAAGGTGTTTTGCGCTTCGGGCTTTTATCGAAGATCGGGATAATACTATTCACGTACTGTAGAGCAAGTGATGCCGAAATCAGGATACTCTCTTCTCAACGACGGGTACACAGGACGCTCATGTCCCACCCACCACCACCTGCCAATCCGATGAAATTCTTTGCACGACTTCGGTTTATGCTACAATCTACAGTCGCAGTTAATTCGGGTCACAGTACGCCGAACTTCTTTGTAAATTCTTCATGAGGGCTTTATCTTGAGGGCAAAACTTAAACCGAAAACCCCCAATGCCGTGCACCTCATGGCCGTAGGCCCCTCAGCAGGACCCTTAGGGCGGTAGGTCCCTTAGGGTCCCTATAATCTACGCCACGACCACACGTGAGATCCCTGAGCCTGAAAACCTACAGCCGCAACACCAACCTCTGAGAAGACATCTTATTTGACCCCCAACTACCCTGATGGACAAGCTACATGGAGGTTCATTTATAAGTGGGGTTATAAGTCCCTTTATATGGGTTATATCTATAGTTATCCTACTTATAACCCTACTTATAACTGCCCATGCACCTCCAAGTACCCACTTGTAAGGACCACCACGTCTCCATCGAAGGGTATCAGGGGCCCTAAACCCTAAACCTCCTTGTCAGGTGCCGCTCTGCAGTCACACGATGTCTGACCCCGAAAGGTTCAAGACCACCAACAACGAACCTCGGCTGGCAATACTAGAACCTAGACTAGGCCCTTATTCCCTTTGTTAGGGTTCAGGTTCCTTTACAAGCCCCCTTTTAAACCAAAAAGGGCACCCTTTGTCTTCCTAGGTTACTACTGGGTCTAGAATACGATTTATTGCGATCGAAGTAGGGCTCTTGGTTTGGGGTGAGGCTTAGGGTTTAGGGGTTTAGGGTGTAGGGGTGAGTTTGTCGTACTGTTGGGGGTTCGGGTCTGAAGTTTAGGCTTTTGGTGCAAAATTTTGGGTTCTTGGCTTCAGAGGGCCGTTCAGAGTACTTGGGTTGATGATATAAACCCTGCATTACCTATAATCAGGAATATACCATGATTCCCATAGTCTAGGGTCCTTAAGGTAATGCAGGATTTATATCATCAACAGTTGCAAGCCAAATCCGCTCAAGTTATTTGGGCACTTGGACCCCCTACGTTCTTCTTCAAGCAAGTGATTGTTGTGTATGTCTTCATTCCCACAGCGGCTCCTTCACAGCACCTGAAATCGA